CAATGATGGATGAATCCAATTGCTGTGTTTAATTCCCATATGATGAGAAGCTGATTGGACTTGAATCTGGGCAGAGGAATACTTTGGGGGGGGGGGGGGAAACCTAACTCAAAACTTTTCTGACAACTTAAATAAGGATAATAGGATATCGTTGGGTTTTTGCAGACCTTCTCCATACCATCTGCCAGACCTCAGGGTCAAGCTGAAGATAAAAATAAAGACTTCCTTGGATCAAATGTGGCTTAAATTGTATGTGTCCACATAATCCCCCTGGCAGCAAAAGTGTTTTGTCACTGCCTTTCTCCCAGATGGTTTTCAGACTTTTCAATTCAGGCTACGCCTTCAAAATTCCTGGTAACCTCTCATCCAAGCACTAGCCAGCAGAATAATAATTATTACTGATAACAAAGAACTCCCCAAATATCTTGCCAACACCCTAATTTTGCCAGAAATCCTAATACACTGCAAGCAAATCAAATAAACGTTTACACACATTTTTAAAAGGTTGTATTAAGAAATCTTATCCTAGCACCACATGCATAGAAGGAAAAATGCCACCTCTTCCCAAAGTCTCAAAATAATTTAGTTTAGGGTCAAAGTGGGAGAAGAGGATAGATTCAATGTTGTCTCTTGCACATATTTATATAGGGGTCAACATATAGGCAAAAGGAGGTGCCCTCGATGTGTTTTAATGGCCTAGAATAACATGTCAATATTTCCTTGAAAGAAACGAGACAAATATAGGATGTGCTTATTGCTTGATCCAGAAAGACTTGGCTGAGTGCTGGTCTTTTATTTCATTTCATGCTGCACTTTTGAAAAAAAAACCCTCTACATTCTTATGTGTGCACCAGAGAATCTGGTTTGGCATTGCTAAAAGCAAAAGAGGTCAACCTTTACTTCTTTCATATTGTGAAATGGATTCTGGAAGGAGTATTTTGCTAGAAATGCCATTATTTCTATGAAGTGCTGGCAAGAGAGACTTTTGTCAGATTCCTGGAGACAATAAAAGAGCTAAAATTCCCAGGTCTGCTTGAAATGCAGCTTTGAAAAAAGTTTACATTCTGATGCTGATACATATGCGTTGTGGCCCAGCAAGAGCCGTTGGAGCTGCCACCAGACTCCGACAGCGAGGGACCCTATGAGTCGGCTCTGGAGGACCCTGGACAGGGTTCCGACTCCGAGCAGGGTGCAGAGAGGCTGGTTGGCCACCAGGAGGCACCTGAGCCTTGGACCAGTGGGCAGGTGACAAGGGAGAGTGAGCCGGACGCCAGCAGTGAGTTCTTCCTGGATGCCCGGCACTGGAGAGCTGATAGGCGTAAGGAACAGTTGCGCGGTTACAGGAGATAATTGCACTCAGCTGGTGGTAATTAAGCTCCTCTCAAGACTATAAAAGGACTGCTTGTGCACATGCCCCATTGCAGGAGTCAATGCATTGACTGAAAGTTGGAGGGCTTTTGTGGCTAGCTTCGCAGGCTGGATTGCTGCCAAGGACCTCTCTGTCTTTTAATAAATTCCTTCAAATATCTTTAGCTCGGCGTGTTTTGGTGTGGGACGAGGGGGGTCAGAACACAGAGCCATCTCTCCAGGCACACGAGCCTTTGCCCGTCGCACTTCCAGGTTCTGGTGTGTCGGCCAGCTGGTCTTCACGCATGTGGGAGTGCCAGAAAGCNGGTGAGGGTTCGAATCCCTATGGGGAGTTCGTTCCAGAGGGTCGGAGCAGCCACAGAGAAGGCTCTCCTCCGGGTAGTCGCCAGTCGGCATTGGCCGGCGGATGGAATTCGGAGGAGGCCTAATCTGTGGGATCTGATCGGTCTACATCTTAGTACATTTAGAAAGTAATTAAAATAATATATGATTTTTCATATTGTGCTCCAGCCATTGGATTCAACCTTGCCCTGTAGATAATGGGACATATGAGAAGAAGTCCTGGAAGCATGTAAAGTAACTTCTTGGATTAAGTTTGGTTCCTGCTGATTATAGGGAGCCTATGTACTAATACTCCTTGACTTGAAACCAGCCATTTTTCAAAGTTACAATTGACCTCCTAAGACCTAAAAGATATCTATGACCCAGTTTTAATGGCCAGCCCCTCCCCATATGATCACATGACCATATTTTGGACACTTGGCAGTCAGCCCACATTCATGGCCATTTCCAGCACCCCATGGTCATTTAACCATAATTTACAACTTTGCTGAAAACGTGTGTTTGCTTTCAGTTTTCAGCAAAATGCTCCATAGAGAACAATTGTTTTACTTAACGATCAAGACATATGTTTAACAACTAGTGATTCACTTAACCATTGTGATTTGTTTAATGACCATTGGAAAAAAATGATCATAAAATTGGACTAGGTCAGTGTTTCTCAACCTTGGCGACGTTAAGTCCTGTGGACTTCAACTCCCAGAATCCCCCAGCCAGCACAGCCAAGGTTGAGAAACACTGGACTAGGTAATGATCCACTTTATGGTCATTACAACTTCTGATTATAATGAGCAGTCTCTGTTAAATTTGAAAGTTGAGGACTACCTATAATAGTACAGAAATCGTTTGACGTTACCTTCTTCCAGGAAGTATTTTTTAATTTTCTAGTCTAGTCTATCCAGAGATTTCCTGATTGTCTAATAATCCATTTTTTAAAATTTGGCCGGATGTGCTCTATAACCTACATTTAGATCAAAATTTCACTTACCAAAAAATCATTCAGGTTTTTTTGCTGACAACAGGGTCTTGTCCACCTGTGTTAACAATAAAATATATCTAGATTAATTATAAAATATGCCAGCCTTGTCTCCAGACGGATGGAAAATATTCCTAACTTATTTTTGTCTCTGGCTCTTAATTTTCCTTCTGCTGACAGTACGTCACCACTACCTAGTTGCCTAACTAGAAGTGTGGCCCTAGGGCTCTAAATGTTCCACTTCTCTGCTTTATATCCTGTGCAAGAACCTAGAGATGCCATTTCAGTCAGGAACCTAATGATTGGCTTCTTGTATGAGCAAGTCACTACTGTAGCGAGTCAGTACTTCACAGAATAGCAATAGCAATAGCAGTAGACTTATATACCGCTTCATAGGGCTTTCAGCCCTCTCTAAG